CACCCATGCTTCGAACTTTTAGCAACTAGCCCAATCTTAAGGATCCCCAACAAAACAGCACAGAACCAACTATCGCTACACCCTGCACGTGAACTGGAGTCTCTCCAGTTACCAAAGACAGTAGCTCTAACAACACCTTCCAATGGCAAGTCAATGCCCATGAATGTTTCACCTGCAAGCACAAGAAATGAGTCCGAGTAGAAAAAGAAGTTAATCATGTTGGTTTGTTTCTGCATACCTAAGCATCGGTCCAATTCTAACCATCTAATGAAGGGTAACTCTCACCAGGGCTCAATGGAACACCCATAGAATCTTTCCTAAAGTTTGTCATTGTAATCACAGCCGGTGGAACCTTGCCCATAAGGCACGGTGGCGGAGTGGAGGTATCATCTTGGGAGGTGCCAACAACTTCACATTGAAGTAGTTACTAGTTCAGGGCTCTAATATCTTTTCTTGTCGACTGTTCAACTAGAAAACCAAAGGCAACCATAGAGGCTACATTAGGCACACCAGCAGGTGACCCACCTTACCTACATCCATTTTCATGGAGATTCAACAAATCAGATGACCTGACTTTGTCGTTATCCATCATTCACCTATTCTTTGAGCATCACCTTATCCATTCAAGCCGAGTCTTCTCCTTCGGCCTTATTACATCTATAGACTTCTTCATAGATTCGAACCAACTACCTTTGAAGGCCCCTTTCACAAATCCTCAACAAGATTGTCCGACGAAAACTTCTTGCCACTCAACGTAGTAACTCCCACTAAAGTAGCTTACTGAACTGACCATCTCTTGAGAAATGTGGATGACTAAGATGCTCTCTATGCCTTATTTGTAAAAGGCTATGAATGTAGAAATTCACGGAGTTGTATTATTAAAGATCCAATTTTGACATAAATGAATCTACTTTTTCTAGTAAATTTTCTTCTTATTATTATAACACAACTTCTAAAAAGCAAGTGAATTGGGGAGCTAAATGTATACACTAAAAAAATGTTAGCATAAATATTAAGGAGATCTTACAGACTAAAAAAAAATATGATTTAAGATGACACACATAAGGTCAAAAGTGAAATCAGCTTGAGCTCACGTGATCCAGCGCCTAACCATGGTCCTCCTAAAAACATGTATAAAGCCTACCAAATGAAAACCCCTCAAAACAAAGATTAGGACTTGCCAAACCAAAGAAATGGATATGCTAAACTTTCCAAAATAAAATTACTAGTCTTCTTGGAGAAACCCTTAAGAATTTGAAAGATTATTCAGGTGCCCAACACAAAACCTACATAAATCTCCTAGTGCCTCTCCTGTTAAAGAGTGGGATGCTTGTCCGATTTTTTTAATGTGCCTTCTGCCCGACAGCCTAGTCTCCTCTGGGTAATAAGAATCCAACTTGAGCGGCCAATAACTAATAGTCATACTAAATAAGTAGACCTAACAAATTCCGGAGACCCAAGGGCCCTCATAGGTCGACCAACTGTCCTTGGCCAAGTCGACCGGCTGTCCTTAGCCAAGTCGACCGACTGTCCTTAGCCAAGTTGACTGATTGACCTTAGCTAAGTCAACTAACTATCCATAGCCAAGAAAATTGAACTTAACCAAGTCGACCGACTGTTCTTGGCTAAGCCGATTGACTATCCATAACTATGCAGACAGAACGTTCTCAACCAAGTTGACTGGCTATCCTCCACAAGGTCAATCGACTGACCAGCATAGGAAAACCGACCGTCCACCCAACCTCAATTAAATCGACCAAATGAACCTGCCAAACCCAATGTTCACCTATCCTAGACCGCCAAATGATGGGGTAGCCGAGCCAAAGACAATTTCTTTATTTATATAATTATTTATTTATGTTTTCTTATGACAAAAATACCATGTGTCATATTTATTTAAATAGAGGCAAGTTTGTGATTATACATTTTATATCTTCTTTACCTATAAAATAAGAGGTGATTTTCACAATAAATGACTAATGAACCATTCGGGCTACTTTAGTCTCTTTTTCACTCTAATATTCTCTCACTCTCTCTCATTTTTTGCTCTTTTCCTTAGGTGTGCTTGGTAGGGCAATTTCAGATTATACTAACAACAATAATAGTAATAATATAATGAACTCAATTTATAAATAGTTGACACATCTACGTTATGAATCATGTTTTTTACACAGTGATATTAACAAAAAATATTTTGTACTGACTCATAAATAAAATACACCTTTACTAAGGGTCTGTTTGGGGTAGTTGCAGCTTATCCAACTTATCCAAATAATCAGCTTATCCTGATAATTTGCTGATCAATAGCTTATCCTAATAAGCTGACTAGCTGTTTGGTTTGTGCATTTCGAAAACAACTGATTCTGGATAAAAGATCATTCTACCCCTGTTTTGGATAAACTGTTTAGCTGTTTGGTTTGTGCGTTTGGAAAACAGTTGATGCAAGTACAATGATAAAGGGAAGTAAATACAAGATTCTCATTATTTCTCATGACAAAAGGGGTACCTATAAAATGTTCTTCCAAAACTAAATTGAAATTGTATCTTAACATCGTCAACAACTATTATAGATATTGTTCCAAACGTAAGATCATCAACTGTGTTTATAAATACGCAGAATCCAACCAAAATGAATATACTGCAGAAAGACGTCCAAATTTAAAACTAACCGACTTTCATATTCATCAAAATGTCAATCCCCTCAAAACAACTACATTACACAAATCAAATCACAACTCACAATTCTAAATACCAGACAAAAAAACACAGTAAAAGTACTTCAAATCTAACCTTTTGCAGGCAGCAAAAAAAAAAAAAGAGAAAAGTGAGACAAACTTTCTATTGAACTGTGAAGATTAATCATTTATGCATTTGTCTATTCGATCAAGTGATTATGAAGTGCAAAGGCTAATTTTTTTTTGATTTTTTGTAAGAGTATAAAATCATTAAAGGGGGGAAAAGAAAAAAACTGTAAAAGAAAAAAATTACCATAGTAGAAGCCCAACCCTTGGAGACATCAGCTTGTTCACTATCAGTCTCACCATCCCAACCCCACAACCGGTCCCCTCTACTGCGTGAAAAACACCAGGAAGGAGGCGGTGAGAACCATGAAGAATCGCATAAGAATAATCGATCTAGTGGAACGGTAGAGAGGAGTAGGCGAGACGAATCGCAGGAGAAGAATCCATCTAGGCATGGTGAACCAGAGGGGAAGAATCGTAGAAAACGAAGGGAGAGGAGTAGGCAAGGCGAATCGATGGGAAGAATCGGCGAATCGGAGGGGAAGAGGGGAAGAATCGATCCAGGCGAGGCGAATCGGAGGAGTAGAGGGAAAAATCGCAGAAAACGATGAAGGGTCATATGCACGTTCAGCGTCTAATACATTTTAAAAACTTCATTTTCTGAACTCAGGCAAAACACTTTAAACAAACGCTTCCACGACATTTTGAAAACGCACAAGCAGCAAATAAGTTGCCCCAAACGCACCCTAAGTCATTGCCCGCAATATGATATTGCAACTTAGGAATATGCTTGGCATGTTGCACCCTCCTTTAATTGTTTTATTTTTTCTGTTTGTCTTTGATTTTTTATGATTATTTAGGCATTGCAAAAAAAAAAAAAGAGTGAAACAAAAATTTTGTACACGTACACACCGGGCGGCAAGTTGGCTGACAGCTCTGTCGTAAGTCCCCTCAGACCCGATTCGGTCTCCGTTGAGGACGAACACACATGCCTTGAATCAGTATTTGAGGGACAACCACCACAAATATCTGTTTCCTTTGATCTCTCTCTCTCTCTCTCTCTCTCTCTCTCTCATATATATATATATATATATATATACACGGTCAGCATTGCTAATATAAATTTATCATCACAAAAAGGGACATGATAATACAATCATTAGAGTTAAATAATTTGGTTTTAATGACAATAAATATGAGGTTATAAGTTGCTCATGTACTTTCTAAGTGTTTTCAGGATAATTTATTTCGTGCAGGGTACATTAGATAATTGATACCTAACGCAACAATCTTTTTCTCTTCGAAAGTTCGAAGTTTCATAAGACTATAAGCGGACCCGACAATTGAAACGCGACGCAATAGAACTCGAGGCTCTCGCATCAAGGTTCAGCATGAAAGAAATTCATAGTAAGTATTCAGTATTTACTAATATATATGCTCAAAATGATCAAAATTAAAATAATGGAATGTAAAGACTTGTTCTCTCTTGATGCTCGCATTTAACTATGTACTGCCCTCATTTAATTAACCTTTTATTATAATTATTTTGAGAAGCAAAGAGTCCAAATGTCTCTCATTTATGGCCACAATGCCGAATTTAGACAGTACAGTACCGTATTTTATTAGCTGCATTCTTATATCTTTATGATTTGTCACGTCCTTTTTGTTTGTGAATCTGAGGATGGACATTTAAAGGACAGTGTTTCATGTATAATTAACAAAGCTGGTCCTTGTCAGAGAATTGGGTTACAAAAATTAATAGATGATCAGAAGGCGCCTATGGGTTTATATAATGCTTAAACCTTGTAATTTTAATTCATTAGTTAAAAATGAGAGCACTATAAAGAAGAGAAGAGAAGAAAGAAATCATGTACATACAAATCGCCAAACTTCCTTGTATTTACATATCTAAGAGGTAAACATAAATTTTTATATTTAGACCACCCAAATCTCTCGCATCACATCAAGAGAAATACTCTCATTTTAATTTTTTAAAAAGTAAAATACAACTTCTCATGAGAAGATGAGGTGGTATGTATTTAAAATTGAAACATACATATTAGATATGTAAATACATAGAAATTGAGTGATATGTATGTAAATATATATATATATATATATATATAAATTTTAATCCTGCAGGAAATTTATATATATATATATATATATATTGAATTTCAAATCTAGATTACTTGATCACCATTACTTGATCACCATCCGTCACACATCATACCGAACGGTGATCCATCATTTCTGACTGAAGAACTGCTCAAATGTGCCATACCGGAGAAAAAAGCCCAAACTGTCCTAATACCCCGCTTATATATTTAATTAGTTCACTCTCTGGCTTCCAACAACAACGCGTAAGAAGCCGCCTCACTTCACTCTCATGGCCGCAACCTTCCTCCTCTTCCTCCTCCATCTCTTAATCACCACCGTCCCGGCGACTCAGACCAAATCATCAACAAACCCATTCACAGAAAAAGCAGCGCTTATCCGTTACTGGAACCGCAAAATCTCCAACAATTTGCCACATCCATTTTTCTTTGTTTCCAAGCTCACCCCTCTCTCTGCCGTCGACGCAGCCACATTCTCTAACATCGCCTCCATCGACCCATCCAACCTCTCCACCCACCTATCCTCCTTCTGCTCCTCCGCCGCGCTACTCTGCTCCCCCGACTTAACTCCTTCTCTGTCCTCCCACCCCTCCAATTCCGACTTCACCAAATACCAAAGTAGAATCTTTACCAACTATGGAAACGAAGCTGCCGGCGGACTTTCTTCGTTTAAAAACTACTCAGACAATCTCAACGTTCCTTTCGACTCATTCCGCCGTTACGGCCGCAACTCCGCCGGCCACGACGATTCCTTCTCATTTTACGCCCCTGATGGCAACGTCGTCACTGCCAACTTCACCTCCTACGGCGCCAGCACGGCCGGCGGAATCGATAACTTCACATCCTACGATCATTCTTCCAATGTACCCGACCTAGGATTCATAAACTACGCCGCGGAAGGCAACGGACGCACCTCAGGCTTCAATTTTTATTCCGGCAACGCTAACTCCGGCGACCAGTCTTTCTCTGGCTATGGCAAGATTGGAAACGGCGTCATCGCAGAATTCGCCTCTTATGGTAACAACTCTAATGTTATCGAAACCGGTTTCGCAAACTATGGCGAGGATGGAAACGTCAACAAAGACACGTTCACCTCGTATGGCGATAACGGCAATGTGCCTGAAAACAATTTTCGATCGTATGGTTCAAGAGCAAACGCCGGCAGCGATAAATTCACCGGCTATCGAGATCAATCCAATGTAGGGGACGATTCCTTCGTGTCTTATGAGAAAGGGGGAAATGACGCTACGGCCGAATTCAACAATTACGGAAAGTCGTTTAACCCGGGCAGCGATGCGTTTAAGGGTTACGGCGAGGGCTCCGGCAATGATCACATCAACTTCAAGTCTTACTTTGGCGACAACACCACATTCAAATCCTATGCCAAAACTGGCATTGATTTTAAATCGTATCATAATTCCTCATCGTCCCCAATTTCCACATCAGCGGCTATGCGGCCCAGGATAAATCGATGGGTGGAACAGGGGAAATTCTTCAGGGAAGGAAGTCTGAAAAAGGGGACATTTATGCAGATGCCAGACATTCGAGATCGAATGCCGCCGCGATCGTTCCTTCCGCGGTCTATATCGGGGAAGATTCCGTTTTCGGCCGCGGCCGTCGCACGAATCTTCAAGATCCCTCCGGGTACAGCCATGGCGAATGCTGTGGAATCCACGGTGGGAGAATGCGAGCGGCCACCGAGCCGCGGGGAGACGAAGCGCTGCGCCGCGTCGGCTGAGGACATGATCGACTTTGCCGTCTCAGTCCTCGGCGGCGACGTTGCGGTAAGATCCACTCAGAACACCAAGGGCGCCAAGGAAAGAATTCTGGTCGGCGAGGTGACGGGAGTGAACGGCGGTATGGTTACCTCATCCGTGAGTTGCCACCAAAGCCTGTACCCGTATCTGGTCTACTACTGCCACTCGGTCCCGCGTGTACGCGTTTACGAGGCTAAAATCCTGGCTGTTGATAGCAAGGAGAAGATCAATCAGGGAATTGCCATCTGTCATATTGACACGTCGGATTGGAGCCCCATGCACGGGGCCTTCGTATTGCTGGGGCACGGACCGGGAAAGATCGAGGTGTGCCATTGGATCTTTGAGGGTGACATGACGTGGACTATTGCTGATCGTCCATAATTTGATCCAAAACAATTAGTTTTGATTTGATGCGTGTTTGGGGAATAATAAAAAGCAATTATGCCCTTTTGTTAATTTTAATTCGGATATCTTATCAACCGAAGAGATTATCATGGATGCTTGTTTTTTCTTTTTTATTTTTTAACCTCTTTATTAATTTTTTGAACCAGGTGTATGCGAAATAGTGGATTAATTTGAGTGGGAGCTTCTGCTATCAGGTAAAGATTTCGACTCATTGCTTATTCATCGTGAGACGAAATCAGAATTTCATGATGTTGCTTTTTTATCATTATATTTATCCTGATCAATCTTATGTATGACTCTTAAATAGGAGAAAATATTACGTATGTAAGACGTACGCAACGCTACGTACGTCAGGGAGGTTATTCAGAGTGTATTAGGGGGTTATATCTGCATTATACCCTCTGTAACCTCCCTGCAACCTATAAACATATGAAAACAAAAGCGCGGAACTTACTAGAGGGTACAAACATGTTACATGAAGGTTATAGTGAGGTTACAAAAGGAATAACATGGATATAACCCCCAAATACCTTTTAAATAATCTCTCTGAAGCACGCAGCGCTGCATTTGTCTTATGTAAGCACATTTTTCTCCTTAAATAGATGGATATAAATAAGAATAATTGATGGATTTTATTGTCTTCTAATGTTATAGAATTTATTTAGAGATTTTCTTAAATTTTATTTTGGGATCTGCGACTTTGCATGCATATCATAATATTGAAAAAAAAGCAAAATATTTTATTTTATTTTATTTATTTTATTGGGAAACTACGCTTGAATGTTCATTTTATATCAATGTATTCTGGAGCCCTGACTCGCACTTTCGATCATGGAAGTTCCTTCATCTTTCCTCTTCTAACTACATTTTCTGTTTATAGCGTATGTGTTCATATTGTTGTGATATTTCACGAAGATGATCTCTTTCATTAATATTACACGAGGATTAGTGATGTCAAAAATTTAGACCAATTTTATATCACTTTTATTTTCTATTTTTTTTTTGTACTGTTATTTTTTAAAACATTTTTATTTACTATATATATATATATATATATATATATAAATGACATATGTATGCATGTATGTATGTATGTATGTATGCATGTATGCATGTATGTATGTATGTATGTATATCTTTTTTTTTTGCTTTAAAAAATAAATCACCTTGTTTTTTAAAATGTTGAGAGCACCTAAAAATTATTTTGAGTGTTTTTAAAAATAACTGCCGCAACCAAAGAGTTTTAATTCAATTCAACGCATAAAAAAAGAACAAAATAAAATAAATAAATAGAAAAAAAAAATGATCTCAAACACTTTACTTTAATTCAGATTATATGAAATTAGAACTATACAAATTAGTTCAATGTACATGGGATTGAATTATCATATAATAGTTGATGTGTAATTAAGATTTTTGTGGGCGGTCTTTTGATGAGATTAGGGCCTAGAAAATGCTAGGAAGCTTGATTTTTTTATCTAATGATGGGTTCTGAATTTTTTTTTCTGTGGAATGGGGAATATTTTCGTTTGGTACAATAATAGGAATGCCAAGATTATTATAGATTAGGTATAGATTAACCTATACCTAGACCACACCCGAGCCACCTCTTGACCTAGAACATACATAGGCTCGACTACAGATCGAATTAAAGCTTAGAAGATGTTTGTGGGCTCAAGGAAAAGCTCGGGAACACACAGAATTGAGGCTTCATCTCTTGGGCAAATGTATAGCCCAAAATTTCTCATGTTTACCTTGTTTTGGACCTTTGTGAAAAAAAATTACATTTCATGCGTATCTAGACGTATAGATGTGCTCGTCTCACTTAGATGAATGTGTAGGAACAAACCACACTTAAATTGGTTGAGTATCGAGCGAGATCCTAGGGTTAGAACATAAATAGCTCTCGAGTTAGGAAGATCAAGGACGATGAACAAATGCCGTCCATTTTCGCGTATATCGAATGAATATTCAAGATCGAGTCAATGAGCAAACAAAACGTGAATCACGAGCACACATGGTAGCCAACGTGGAAAGTACAACCAATCAAAGCGCACCATGGGGGATCTCAGAGCTGCTGAGGATGACAGGACGCCGCATCGAATAAGTTAAAAATTATGGTATTTTGGAATTATTTAATTACATAAACTCTAAAAATTGATATCTTGATGTAAAAGAAATACAAAAAGAAAGTAAAAATACATCTGTGCTTAGTAAATAGAGGAGAATTTATTAAACTAAAAATAAAAAAAATATTTTTTAAATATTTTATTTTTAATTAATTAAAAACTCTAGATAGGAAATTAATTATAATTAATTAAACAATTATCCAAAATAAGTGAAAATTTGAGGGCTTGTTTCTAATGACATTATGTACCTCCTCTGATTTTTCCAAGGTCACAGAGCATTCCCATGATTAAAAGCTCTAATTTTCTGTGACTGTTAGTATTATTTTAATCAAATATTTTTTAAAAAATAAAATAGAAGAAAAAAATACAAAATCAAGTTTATAGGTTCACTGTGGTCAGACGACAATATGAAAAATCAAAATTAAATTTAAAAGATTTAAAATACATATCTCCATTTAAAACTAATAAAAATATATAAAAAAATTAGAAAAATAAAAAATAATTCAAAAAAATCATGAGAATATTCCAAAATGAAGAAAATGATTTTGTAAAGTCCTTATAATAATTTGGAAGGCAGAAAAGTTATTTTTAATATAAAAATATATTTTTTAAGTAAATAGGAATTATTGCTTAAAATAATTATATAAAATAAAATAAAAAGCAGAAAATTATAAAAATTTTTTTGAATGATTTCTTAAGAATAAAATTGATGTCAAAATAAAAAGTTCATTTTTGAGCTATTTTTTAAATTAAAAATTATTAAAAATAGTTAAAAATCACAAAAATATAAATATACTTCAAAATATCACAAAATATTCCCTAACTATAGAAAACAACTTAAAACTATTTCTATAAATTTTAAACTATGTAAGAATTATTTTTAGTATTTAAATGTATTTTTCTCTTATTTTTGAATAAAATAATTATATATATATAAATAAAAATCATAAAAATATAAAAAAAATTCTCTAAGTTCTCTAAAGTTAAAGAGACTTATGAAAGATCTAAAAATGAATTTTTGAAAATAAAATCTATTTCTATTTATTTATCACTTAAAATCAACTATAAACATAAAAAATAGAATTCCAAAATTCACAAAATTTATTCTAAATGGTCCTCGACCAAGGTAAATGTCCTAAAATTATCCTAATAAGGCCAGAAAAGATGTTTTGCTTAGTAAAATTAATTGATAATGAAAAGTTCTAATTTTGAATAAAAACAATTTTTAAAAATTGAATAAAAAACAGAAAAATGAACACTCTTCTCTGGTATATAAATTGGCCCATGAGTAGGGTAACAATAAAGTTTTAAAAGTCATCTGAGTTAAATTGAAGAAATCTTGAAGTAAGGAACCATATGGGTGAAATAGTAATTATAGAATTTTGAACCTCAAATTAAAATTTAGGTGACATCGGAGGGAGAATGGTTAGTAATTATGATAATTAACTCTCTGAAGTGATTGAAAGTTAAAAGGTAAGAGCCGATTCACTTTACTCTCTACAAAGGTAAAATTGTAATTAATCAAATTATTATGAATTGGAAGATAATTAAGTCTTTGATGATCTTAATGTGAGGGGCTTGAGTTAGAAAGGTAAAAACTAACTAATTTGAACCCCAATCAATGGTTAAGTGCAATTCAACCTTTCAATAAACATTAAACACCATATCATAAAACTTTTTTAACATTACAACTTTATCCTTCAACCTTTATAAGCTTTTTAGTGAGCTAGAGTTAATCTAAAATTACTTAATGAGGCTTAGAATAGAAACATAAATAATCATGAAAATCATTGAAACACTACGAGCTCAAGTTCAATTGAAAAGAGATGAAAAGTTCTTCAATAACTAAGCTTACCCTAAGGGTTATTACTCTTATAATTCATCTACATAATAATGAGTGATTAGTTGTCCCTACTCATGAGTCAATTATACACCAAACTTCAATGGGCACAAGTTAACACACCACAATTAAATCTTAACTTAAGTAAGGTTGATAAATTCAATGACATAATAAGCTTATGTGAACTTAAAATGATCAAGAAACTTATAAAGTGGTTGACTTTTATGCCTCTAATCCCTTTGTAAGATTCTGGACATTTTTTAAGGACATATGGATATTATAGTTTCTTGAAGAAAATAATCCTCAAAATCCTATAGGGATCCACCATGATATGATTCAAGATCCATTAATTCGCCAATTCCAATAACATACCCTACACTACTTATTCCACATTGAATCCAATGCTTAATGGTTTTAGTCTCGAATAAGGTATTCAAATCCTTATGAGCATTTGGGGATATTTATTTATGCCACATATGGATCATCTAGCAAGTGTGATATAGAGGTCTTGGTGGCAAGGGAAATGACAACGTCGCTTATGTGTGCTAACGAGGGATACGTAGTTGGATTAGGAATAGTGTCTGTTATCCCAAGGATCATTTGGTAAAGAGGAAAACACCGATGCTGCTATTCACCATCCCCTGGTACGGGTTTCCCTAGCTCTCCTAGGTTGCTGGTACTCCAAGTCTGATTAGAGTGATTAGCTCATGGACTATAGTGTTTTACAAAATGTATATAACAATGTGAACCTAACAAAAATCCTTCTTGCGACATGATTACTTTTGAATGTTAACAAACCTATTTGCATGAAAAATTAAAATAAATTTTTATGAGATCTTGTATAGGTCCACAGACTAATCACTTGAATTGAGGTTAGGAGTTGCCCTTCCTTGGACAACTAGGTTGGTGGCTGAGCCACACATTTTGTAAGATGTAATTGCTTTGAGTTTATCTTCTTTAATTTCAATCCTAGGAAAAGGCACCAAAAACTTGATCCTCTTTCTGTGCTGATAATATAATTTTATATTTTTATAGCAGCTACTCCTAGTGAAGTAGGCATTAATTTTTTTAATTATTGATTTCAACGTTTAACTAAGATTGAATGCAAGTGCATGTAACATTCA